GAAGAAAAAGAAGATTGAAACGATAGGAATTAATGCTTACTTGAGAGAAAAGACGTTGAGCCTCTTCGAAAAGGGTAGATGCGTTGTTGAGATCGGCGGCATCATTGACCCCGGTAAAGCAATCCTGGAAAGGATCTTCTTCACTGGGGACTCCGCTTAAGTCAGGCATTTGCAGAGCCCCAGCTTCCTTATGGCCTCCTCAGAATAAGCCGGTAGAGGAGGAGAGTGACCTATCGTCATGGCCCCGAGCAAATCGCTCGGGGTGCTCTGTTCAGCCCTGGGGATTTGGGAACATGTCCCCTTCGGTGTGCTTGTTGATGGCCGAGGAACAATCTTGACCTCGAGCGATTCGGGGCCTTTGCTCGTGTCTTTCTTCGGAGCTTCCTCACCAGGAGGCAGGGTCTCCGATTCAGAGGGCTTGGCAGCTTAAACTGGCTTCCTAGCTCTGGTCACCAACGCTGATTCTTCACCCTCGTCTTCTTCTTCATCATTCAGCTGGTAGACTGAGTCTAAGTCCATAGGAATGAGATTCCTGCTACGTCTTCGAGTAGGACCCCTTTTTATCTTGGGGGTCTTCGGGCTTCGAAACCCTTTTCCTCTTATTATCTTTCCCCAATTTCAGAATCAGGGACTCGGTCTTTCCCGGGCGGGGCTGGCCTCATTTCAGAGACATCTCCAATGCCTACATGAATGAAAATTAGGTATGAGTGAAGTAACATCCCCGATAAAGGGGAAAGCATAAAAAACTTACAAGAAGAACTTACCGTGGTGTTTGGCTTACCATCTGCCCCTCGCCAAGTCATGCTAGCGGCGCTCGTCATACGAGGAGGTCACAGCTAGTTTTCAGACCCAGTCTTCAAGGTCGTCGACCGCATGGGGCATCCAAGCAACCGCTGCAAAAAAGGTGAAGGCATCACGCAATGCAAAAACGGAATACAAAAGGCTACTGGGAAAAAAAACTTCACTTACGATCGGGGTTCCACTTCTCTGGGAACGACATTTTCTCCTCTGGGATGATGTCGCAGGTCCTCACTCGCACGAACCGGCTCATCCAGCCCCGGTCCTTATCCTCGCATTGCTAGAAAAGAAGGCCTTGGTCGACCGGTATTGGAGCTTGATCAACCCTTGGAAAAGTTGAGGCCGATACAATCGGATAAGATGATTGAGGGTGACCTCTAGCCCCTCGGACTTGCTGGAGAATTGGCGAAGCATGATCACTATGCGCCAGAAAGAAGGGTAGATCTGGCCGAGGGTGACCTGATACCTCTTGTAGAAGTTGATCACGATTGGGCCGATGAGACCCAGCATGAAGGGGTAAGTGTAAACACTTAGGAACCCCTCCACATGAGTGGTGATACTCTTCTCGGGGGCGGGGATCTGCACCACGACCTCATCCCTCCAGCCATAATCCCTCTTCATAGCCTCGAGGTGCTTCTTTGTTATCGAGCAAATATACCTCGATACATGCTCACATCGGCTAGGAATTGCGGGGGGATTTTTAACTTTGAAGTCTTTCTTTATGACACAGGGGCCGGGAATAATCTCGTGAAGGGCCGACGCTTTATCGTCGGCCGACCGGGAAGAGGAGGAGGAAGCTTTCTCCTTTTGAGGAACGGTTTTGGAGGTTTTCGCTATTGATTTAGGTTAGAGGAAGCGGAAAGAGGCGGAGTTTAATATCTTTCGGCGTTAAAAGGGCGGGAATAACAGATAGTGAGAGATGAAGAATGGGAGAAATCAGGGAAGTTTGAAGGTTGTTTGAAGATGGAAGTAAAGGTTTGGATTCGAATAACGAGCCTTGTATTTATAGGCAAACGACGACGCTTCAACGACGCTAGTGGCTGACCGCCACCGGCAAGCATTTAATGTTTTGGGAAGCGAGCCGATGGGACGTTTTGGTTACTTCGAGCGCTTACATCACGGGGATGACGTCATAATCAGGGGCTCCGGAAAATCGAGGCTCAAATCGTATCTTATCATCTTATTCTAAGAAACGCGAGGACTATTTGTATACGGACGGTCAGAATCAGGTATGCCCGATTTTGTAGGCTTGGGGAGCTGCTTCGAGGGAAAGCTCAAAACGGACCTGGCTCGAGCCCGATGGCGAAGTGTAGAACTTGAAGATCGAAGTGCTCGATGAAAACCAAGGCCAAGTATGATCAACCTCGAGATAATACCGTTATGGTTTAATAACAGAAAGAGCGAGATCCCCGCAACGACCCGAAGATCCCGGCGTAAATTCCGGAACGAATTTGTACTTGGCGGTTAGACAGCTGTCCAATAAGATTCCTTACTGTAATTAGAAGTGTACCTTATTTAGGACCCGCCTACTATATAAAGGGGGAGCCCATTCTTTTGTAACGAACGACACATTGACAAAGGAATATACATTCATTCACATTCTTGCTTACTATTCATCAGAGTTGCCTTATAATTTTATTGTTCTTACTGACCTACCTCGAGGCCACCATAACTCGAGGTCAAGACTTGGCTTGACCACTGGTTTGACTCACTTTATTTCTTCAATTTATATATTTGACTCCTTGTTTATAAATTGATATTGGACTAAATCACGTATCTTTAAAACCACAATATAAATTTAATTGTTACTCAACTTTTAGGGTAAACATTTAATTAACGCATATTATCACTATCGTTATAACCAATTTAGCATTCTAATCCTCCACCTTCGGATTTCGAATAGGTTAGGCACGACCTGCCCGTGCTGAGCTGAAGTGATCGAAAGAAACTAAGGATTGATTTAATGTAGAATTAGAGAGCAAGAATTAATTACTAACACGCCCGTGCTTAACACTAAGCATCACGAAGAATTGTTTGTCCAAAACAAAGAAAAGAGGGAATAAAATAAGCCCAAATTCGTATGACACTAATTAGTGGGTACAGTAACTGTTTCTTACACTATTATGCTTACATGAAATAGAAAGATGACAACGAAAACAAAAAGAAAGATCTGAGACATAGCGAACTAAGCAAGTAGAGAGATCGGTTGCATCATGCATGGTTTGCGAGCATTATCATTATCAAGATTCACAAATTTTCTTAACTGAGATGGAAAAAAAAAACTACTATAAGAGTAGCCCCAGGAGGGCTCATTGAAGTGGCGGAATCATGATTTTTATTGAAAGAATTAAATAAATAAACATACGAAAAGTTAAGGGATTCAACATCTAATATATATACATGAAAAAAATTGACTTAATATACATAGTATAATTTTCAGCTGAACCCCCTTCTGCCTACCTAACTCCGACTCCGGGCTGCTACTTGACACGTGAAAAGAGTTTCAAAAACTCGAAACACTGCAGAAAGCCGAGTCGTATGATGCTGCTTCTCTGATTTGGCTTTTTCTCTCTAACGAACCCAGCCATATCTTCCTTTGCGAAAAGTACAATATCTTCGATATTGCATCGTTCACAGACACTATATAGATGTTTATCATAGCCAGAATTACAACATCTTGTACATGGACTTGTTGGTGGACTCACCAAAACCATATATCTTGAGAAATAAATCATATTTCTTGCGCTGCTCCAAACGGATTGAAGGCTGTTATATATATGTAACGCCATTTACTTACAAAGACTTATATATGAACTAGAATCCTAGAGAGACAAAAAGTCTTATTGTATTTAGACATCATCGATCTGTAAATTGTCGTGTCTCCCAATCCAAACATAATTAAGACTTGCAAACTTCTCACCTTTCTCGAACATCGTTTTATTTACTTAGGAAGGGAAGAAGTTTTCATGATATTATTATTTTTATTCTTACTAGCTATTATATTAACTATGATAAACTAATGTACTTTCTCTTGGAGGTATTTTTGGGGGAAAAGACGGGCAAGTTTAGTTAATTTAACTCTAAGATTCAATATTATGTATTGTATTGCATCATTTCGCCTAATATAATATTTTGATAGATTGTATTATATTTTATCGTTTCATGATGTCACACATCATCAATTTAAAGAATAAACTTACATTATTACACACACAAAAAAAAAAAAGCAAAGTTTGTGTAGAGGTATTATAAAAAGTGATAAAATATAATTATAAAATACTAATGAATAAAGGGAAAAATGAGAGTGAAAATAAGATAACGTCCTGACTACATCAAATCGATCGTAACAATAAAATTTAACAAGAGTACAATAAAATTTAAGCAACTATCAAAACAAACGTTATATTTAAAGTAACTATACGATACAATACAATACAATGTGCATACGTTTTTATGGGCAATGTTAAAGAACAATTAAGTATTTAAGGTTTAACAACCTCTAGTTTTTAAGCGTTATATCTTTCTTGAGCCGAGGGTATATCGGAAACAGCTTCTCTGCGTACACACTACCCTTCCTAGGCCCCACTTGAGGGATTACACTGGGTTTATTGTTGTTGTAGTAGTAGTTTTTAAGGGTTATGTTTAGCATTCATTTTCTATTTTTTATTTTTTTGGCTATTTTCCTTTTCTTGATAACGGTCCTTGTTGAACTTTAGTGTCATATATTCTATTGGATGTATCAAATGATCAAATCACACAAGCTTCGTGAGTGGCATTATCTGATAAGTCTTACTACTGTTCGACATAATGTAAATTAAGTAGTCAAATCGTTTACACTCCTAATTTGCTATGTTTCAAGATATATTGATGTCATTATTAGGTCTCCCATACATAATCGCGCAATCAACTGAATTGACAAACACAAGAAATAAGTGACTGTACTATACTACTATACATTAATGCTTCAACAACTTCCTATTCCTTTTGCTGAAGGTGCACTGCTCCCCAATAAGTGAACAAGAAAGCATATATATATACGTGAGCTCTAAAGTTTCGCGTAATGAAGTCCATTTCATTCGTGAATGAAAGTCAAAAATTTATTTTACGAGATGCTCTACAACTTCATTTAGTATGTATGGAACTAAACACATGCGTAAAATCGCCAGAAAAGTTCCATTTTGCTGGAGTATATGAATCTGTGATAAAAAGAACAAAAGAGTTTTGATTAAGAGTGGAACTTTGTCATAATGTAGTTCAACTACTTCTGAAAAATAGTGCAGGATGTCCTATGCATTTTCAGCAGATAATAAAATACATTATAATGGCCTAATTTGTGCGTCTAAAAGCTCACCTTCCACTAACTTCTTTCCTGAACACCGAAAAACAACACGTTTCACCACAAAATTTTATATGCATGATGATATAAAAAGACTTGATTTTTCCATTTTGATCTGTATAAACATAGCTCCAGATCTGACTCTGCCTGTAGCAAAAAACACGCCCTGTTTGATCTATACCTGATTTAGCAATTTTACAGCACAGCGAATGACTTTCATAGAGCTTGCATCTCAAGGTTAGTTTGTTCGACCCCATTTGCAGAAGAAGGTCCAGGTTCTCGGTTGTCGCCATCAGCATTCATCTCCTGAACAGGTGGAGGGTTAACTATTGTCATTTGCATGGCAGCATTATCTGAAAGACGACTCTTCATCTCCCGATGCTCCTGGCACAAGGCACACCAGTGCAGGCAGCAATGCACCACGCAGGGGTCGCAGGGTGAATTCTGCATCGCTAAAAAATTAGTATATAACACAAGGTACTAAGACAAAACAGCATGTTACTCTGACATTTGCAATACTAGTCGTTGACATGAAATCTGTCTCATGCCCCAGCAGTGAGCGCAGGACAAACTGATGAGAGGTCAGATTACCTTTTCTCACTTGAAAAACACTAAATCTAATGCAATGATGTACTTAAAAATATGTCTTTTCTCGGACGCCACGAGAAATTACAGTTCGTTTGAGAGTTGAGACGGTACAAGTCCTGAGCTGATAAAGGAATTTTTTTCGTCCATAGCCGACAAAAATTACTAACTTGAAATTTGGCTAGAATGAAATCACAGGTTATTTTTTTGGGTGTAAATAAATAACTGTCAATCAAATTAATCAAGGCCATGAGTACAGAAATTGAAGCCAATTATGCATAATATCGTGTATCAGACAGAAAATAAAGTGACTCCACCTTGAGATGATACTTCTTCTGCAGCGACTGCCGAACCAGACCAGTGTATATGCCACACATCCACCAACTAAATAATAAACCTTCACAAATGAGGAATGACGTCCTTGGATCAATACCATGAAATGCTGCTGTTGCAGCTGCAACCGCAATGCCACCCTCAATGAAAATGGCATGACAAATGCAAGGAGTAGACCAAGGAGTATCATCATCTCTTAGGCTCTCAACATTACGCCCAAACAAGACACATGGACAGAAAAGTCCTCTCCAGCCTATAAAGGTAAATTAAACAATCAGTGTCAGAAGAAGCATGTGTGGCGCATAGACTGACAAAAATGCATACCTCATAATTAAGAATGTGATGCAGAGATCTATTCAGAGATGCTGGGGAATGCCAGAAATCAAGCCCAGCAAAATAGTAAACAACCACAACACTAGCTTAACAGAAAACAGAATTTTTGCATATTAAAAAGGTGTCCAAGCACTAGTTGAAGATTAATGTCACTTTATTACAAGAGCATGCTCTTCCAGCTTGTATAGTTTTGAATGCATTTCAGATAATTTAATCAAAAGATAAACAAGCAGCAGCTTTAGCGCCTAGATTTCACCTCTTAAGACCAGTTTAATATGTACATAGTAACCAAAAACCAGATTGGTCATTAAGATCAAGGTAACATACCATACTCGTGCGGGACCGCCAGCCACTTACAAGACACACAAACCAGCCACAATTGGATCTGGAGATTTAAGTTCAGAAAACCACCATTGTTTTTTCCCGATAATGGTGTTGTCTGAGCCATGTACGCACCTCGATAATTTCACCAGGTACCTGCTACCTCCCGCCAGCACAGGTAACAGGTAACTCTGCCACCCAAGCTTAGGCGGGGGGAGAAGAAATCACCAAGAGTTTCTTGTCTCTGCTGGGGTTTGAACCCTGTATTTAAGGCTTTCACCCACTTCATTAACCACTAGGACACACCCTTGGGTGGGTGATCAGAGAAACCACCTTTGTTTTTGTTTAACAATATAAAAACAGGACAGTTCTGAATGAAATTACAGATAATGAATAAAGACAAAGAATACTACTAGCTGTTTCAGATATCATTAATGACGAGCCTTCTCAGCTTTCTGTAGCAGACAATAAATAACTCCAACTTAGAGAAATCCACTATATAATACATATAAGCGAATAGATTCAAATATATATTGCAGATAAACTGGGTTAAATTGGAATAATACAAAGATTAACACTTCCTACTGCATAAACTGAAGACTACTTTATGCATCAAAGTTAGAGATAAAAGAAAACTTTTTAAGTTTGTTTTCTCTCTATAGATTTCTTTATAGTTTTTGTATAGGAAGCGCATAGTTAATGAGACATGTTTTAAAAAGGGCTTAAACTGGCGTTTCCCTTGGTTTTGTACAGCTACTTGGTAATTAATAAATTTTCTTTAATTGCCTAAAAAAAGGATTAACACTTCCAAAGTTAAAAGACAAAATGGCAGTTTTAGATACCATTCATCATCTTTTCCAATGTCATTTCAAGCCTCAGGAATAGTGCAACAACTACATAGTAAACAATACCAGCAAAGACGGCCAATTATTTATGACGCGACCCTAAATTAAAAAAAAAAAGAACTTACAACTATCTTTGTCCTCTGCACATCCAAAAATCCCAGTTGTCCAAGGCTCGTCTGCAGGAGGCTCAAAACTCTCAGGCAACGGTTGTCCACACTCATGGCACTTCCGAACAGCTAACTGCCCAATGATGTGGATGCCACATGACATTTGCAATAGAAAGCATGATAAAGGACCAAACAACAGTACAAGTAACACAAAAGTTCTGATGGAGAAGCTTGTAAAAGGAACAATACAGTCATTATTAAATAAACAACAAACAAACAAACAACAACAAACCCAGTATAATCCAACAAGTGGGGCCTGGGAGGGTAGTGAGTACGCAGACCTTACCCCCGTGAATGTAGAGAGGTTGTTTCCAATAGACTCTCGGCACAAGGGAAAATGAAAATGAAGCAATAGCAACAAGCAGCAACGAGAACAAAACGAGGCGAAAGGAACAACATGTAGTGATGGAAATCTAACAATAATAGAATACAAGACTGACACTAATAACACTGGAATTGTCAGGAACCGTCATTATTAAATAAAAATCAGCTAAACCCAGCCAATTTGTGACTTTTTTATCAAAACTAAAAAGAAATACTTGTTCGACTGTTTCCTTAAGCAGAATAGCTGCCTACAGCTTAGGAGCAAATACCTTTCTGTGTGTGATACATATTCCATAATATATTTTGATACAACTTTCCAATATCTGCATCTTATGACCCCACATATGCATACTCCCAGAATGGCAGCTGCATTTCAGAAGGGGTTTTAGTAATCGGATATGGGATGAAATAATTCAACTATTGAGTTGTTTGTGGCGTATTTCTCCTGATGTCAAGATGGATTCTCAGTTTTGGTTAGCAAGCAACAATGGATGCTATTCAGTAATAAGCTGCTATGCTCTGCTGCAAATCAATCAAGGAACTGGAGATTAACTGGCTTGGAAGACACTATGGAAACAAAGGCAATGAGTTTTCTGAGTGATACCCCAAGATGTGTGAAGTCTACTTTCTTACTGGCAGGGACAAAGAATTGAGAAGGGAAAGAAGCAAACGTGGAATACTATCCCATTATGAATCAAGTGGACCATATGGTTGGAAAGGTGTTAGACCTGCCGTTACTAGGGTCTATAACCGTAGAAAGAAGGGTGAAAATAAGGCTTTTATTTATTTATTATTATGTATATGTATTGGTAGTAGTTACCTAGCAATTCAGGCAGTTATTTTGTGTTTTACTCCCTCCGGTCCACAATAAGTGACCAATTTGCCTTTTTATTTTGGTCCAAAATAAGTGTCCATTTATATAATCAAGAAAAAATTCAAGTTGTTTTTTCAAAATTACCCTTATGTACGTATCCCTTCTTTTACTCCTCACATTAAATTATGCTGCAACATTTAATTAAGGGTAGTTTAGTCACACTAACTTTTTTTGTCTAGAATTCAGTATTTCCTTAATGGGTGTGCCTAAGGCAAATTGGTCACTTATTGTGCACCGGAGGGAGTATTATATTAGGAAGAAGGGAAGAAAGGCATTTTATTCTGTAGTATTTTCTCTGGCAGATTTGAAGGTTAAGGTTCCTCAAAATACCTTGATTGTTAGGTGTATTAATGTTCTAATAGCTGTTTGTTTCTCTGTAGGACTTATTTTATTTGTTGGTGGCAATAAAGAATAGTTGAAGTGTTGTTCTGTATTTTAAATTCACTGATTACAGTTAGGGAAAATTCTGGTTTCCTAAAAAAAGGAATAATGGATATTATGTGGGTAATGATGCAACATTCTTCTTTGTAAAGAATAGATGTCTAAATTCTCTGTATTCATGGTGTAGGCACAATACGCTGGACAACCCAGCCTTTCTTTTGGATTTCTTGGAAGCTATGATGCTGTAACAATAAAGATAAACCTGATGCTCCATTTTATGCTTTTGTAGTACCTCCCCGGTACTATTTATTACAAAATACCTTACTTTATAATATTAAAAGTACTCAGGGATACAATAGAAACTAAGTCAAAATCTATAGCAATGTTGTCAAAAAGCAAAAGGCACAAAAAAGCGACAAGGTCTTTGGGACTTGAAGAGAAAAACGAGAAAAAAAGCACACAGTTCACAACATTAAAAAGTACCAACCATATATTAATTTGGTAATATAATGATCAAATAGAAATTAAAATAACTAACTTTAATATCCAATATACAATAACAGTGATATTAATCCAACTTCTAGATTCAAGAACCGAACACTTCATCACTTTGCATGTTATTATTTGAAGCGCATGGCTTCCCTATGAAACAATATAACAACAAAGTAAGACCACACTAGGTAAGTTAACTTAATAATTATAGACATGAAAGTTTTCCAACTTCTAGATTCAAGAACCGAACACTTCATCACTTTGCATGTTATTATTTGAAGCGCATGGCTTCCCTATGAAACAATATAACAACAAAGTAAGACCACACTAGGTAAGTTAACTTAATAATTATAGACATGAAAGTTTTCCTATAAATGGACTGGCTTTAACATTCAGAGGATGGCTTGCCAAGCTACGCAAACAGTAAATTTGCTTATAGTCGCAAAACTTTTTCTACCAATGAGGTAAAACAATTATTATACACGATAATGCTTGTAAAAGCATGGGAAAGAGGGGTAATATACATGACAAAGCATATGGAAGTATGTGAAAGTGGGGTGACATATATAGCAAAGCATGTGAAAGTGGAGCCCGAAGAGTATAAAAATATGGGAATTTTTTCTTGGTATGCCGAGTGATTTTTAGGATTTTAAGCCATTTTGAAACTTTGACGGCATCCAAGGTAAAAGTGTGAAAATCAGTTCCGGCTGCTTTTTTTTTTTTTTTTTGATTTGCACCGGGTGTCCGAGTCTCTAAGAGCCCCGACTAATCCCGGGGGTGCACAGGCCCTCGGCAAGGAGTTTCCCGCAAGTGCACCACGGTTAATTCAGGTTTTACCCAGTCCGATGGCCCTCAGAAATTGTTTGCACCCAGTGGGTTTCGAACTTGAGACCTTGAAAGGGAGCAAACCCCAAGGCTCAAGTCTATTGCCACCAGGCCAACCCCTGAGGGTTAGTTCCGGCTGCTTTTGATGCCACGGATTCTTGTCTACTTTCTGAAATTGGTTCATTTGTCATGCCATCTTGATCCTCATCTATTCAGATATTTCTAGTTCCTTTGGCTAGTTCACAAATATCGAGGGATAGTCTTCTTCAGAAGAGTTGGGTGTGGAGTCATATATATCACCCCACTTTCACATGCTTCTACATGCTTTGTCATACATATGACCCTATTTTCATACGGTTCCACATGCTTTGTCATGTATATTACCCTTCTTTCACATGCTTTTACAAGCATTGTCATGTATAATAGTTGTTTTACCTAAGGTCCTTCACATGTCTAAGGGGACCCACTTGTAGATAAGATTTCCATGTAAGATATGTTTGACTTGTAATAACCTCTTAACCCTTATATAAAGGAGGCTATGTAGTACTTGGAAGATCATCTAGTAGCCATTGTAAATCATTGTGTTATATATGAGTTCTTTCAAGATTTTTCTCTTGCTCTTTCTTTCGAAAGGGATAGAAAAGTCGATTTTTATATGAAAATGGAGTAATAATACTCTAAGAAAGTTAGCTTATTATAGTACGAACATTTTCTAAGTTATAACAGCTAAGTTGGTTATAGTACAAAAGTTTTCCGAGTTGAGTAGCTTGACAAGCCATCCTCTAGATGTTGAAGCCAACCCATTGGTAGGAAAACTTTTGCAACTATAAGCAAATTTACTGTCTTCGTAGCTTGGCAATCCATCCTCTAGATGTTGAAGCCAGCCCATTTATAAGAAAACTTTCGTGTCTATAATTATTAAGTTAACTTACTTAGTGTCTTACTTTGTTATTATCTTGAATATTTAGTGTCTTACTTTGTTATTATCTTGGTGTCAGAGCCAGACCATCATTTCAGAGAAAGGAACAATTTACAAATATGCCCGAGTCATTTCCATCATCTTCTTCCCTTGCAAAGATAAATATGTCCTTTACTCTTACTAAAACTTTGTCAAATAAATATGATTACCAGTCTGAAGTAGATATTCTACCCGATGGAACAAAGAGTGTCATCTACTGAATTACCCATCGCAAACCCATACTCAACTTGTGCCAAAAAGTCGATTTCCCTTGCTTAAAGAATGTATCGTATGCTTCAACTTAGCTGGAACCTAATGTCTAATTGGCTACGATATATCACAATCTCCCTGCCGGGAACAAAAAACATAGAAGTCCCTTTACTTATCCCTTGTATAGTTGCATATGTATTAAACTGACGAGATGAAGATTAGATAGACTCGAGCATAATTACCAATGGAAGGATTATACTGATGCATTTTGATCCACGGAGTAACAATGTACTAAAGAAAGATGAAGTGCGAGAAGCCGCATGCCCGTCATTTCTTAAGATCATTTGCTCGTGGAAAGAATAAACACTTTGGCACCTTTAACCAAACAAATAAGCTTCTCCCCACTACTTTTCATTGGTATTAAGTTGAAATGAAAAGGCATCCATAATGGAGCATTTAGGAGCAACATATGTACAAAATCCTAGTCCATTTTGAAGCACACAATTTGATCTTTTGGAAACATGACAAAGTAGCAACATTGGACACTAGGACTGCCAATTTAAATACTTTCTCTTAAGTATCACAATTGAATTTGTCCAAACACCACAATTAAACAAGAAAGGTAACTCTAGTCAAGTCGTGATGGGTAACTCCAATAGTTTTGGTGCCTATAAATAGTTCACAACCTCTGCAAAGAAAATCCTTCACTATCTATAACGAGCCTAACGTTGGACATCATTCCCTATCCACTTCTCTAAACTGCAGATCCACACTTATCAGATAAAGTTGGATAAAACTACAAGCAAAATTTGCAGTTACTCAACACAGTACGAGCCTATATAATCCAACCGTGGTGCGCAGATTTTGCCGACATAAGCATAACTATAA